CAGCCCCTGCGAGGAAGACAGGAGCGTGGGTCGGTTCTCTGCCACGGTGTGGAATTTAACAAGGTTAGGATTTTCTGGTTTCCCATCACTGGCCTAAGGTGGAGTAAAATGCGCTTATAATATTGATTCGCTAATACACTCTCTCTGCTTTAAATGTCCACAAAAAACAATTTTTCTTCTTTCCATAGACTTAATCAGTAACAATGATATAGAAAATCCATTCATTTATGCCTCCTGAGCTATTAAAAAATTGATTGGCCTTCTGAGCCTGACATTTCCATTTCCAAGGCTTACTTTTGAAAGACAATGGAGATATTTAAAAGAGAGCTTCAAAAGTTCAGCTCCTTTGCTGCCATTGAAGAAGGCCAGTGGAAGCTTTCTCATGTGCTTGCTAGGAGCTGAATTAGGCTTATCTGAAGAAGAAAAGTGCTACTGAGTGACAGTGAGTATGCAACTTTGAAGTCTTAGGGACTAATTTTTTCCAAGGAGGAGGGTGCCCATTGTCACGAATCCTGGGGGGAAAAAAAAATACACACGAAAAGAAAGACTCACATTTATTTTTGAGAGGGAACTTTGACTCCTGGGCACTTCTTAAAAATGTCATTTCTGGTCCCAGCGAATTAAGAGAAAGGCAAACCTATTTTAGCTTAGCTACCCGAGGAGGTTGTTATCAGGGAGGCAACCACGGCTGTAATCACACATCACGCGTGCCATCGCGTTGCCTCGATTGTTCAAGAATCTGAAGCCGTGAATTCCTTTGGGTACGCATCCCAAAATTGTCATAATTGAGAATTACTTAGTGAGTAAATCGTTGGCCTTTTAACCTCGCCAGCCTCATTTTAGGCCTTAAGGGAAATCAGGCTGCTCGTCTGCATCGATGGTATTCTCTGCTGAACGGCGTCCCGCTTCACAGATGGAATACGTAACAGGAGCAGCCACTCCTGTTTAGGGTAAGGCTTGAGCTGTGCTGGCTGTCACCCTCAAGGAGAGGGGACCTGGTGGGTCAGGAGAGAGGCCGCAGCCGGAGGGAGGTGAGGAACACACCATCTCTGAACTGCAGCTAGTGTTAGGCAGCAAGCACATCTCCCAAGGATGGATAACCTTCTGGCTCTCTGCTAACCTTCACGTGAAACAATGATTTATTCGCTCAGAAAGCACAGCGACCTGAAACCCTACCGTGATGCAGGAGGCTCCTACAGATTCTCTCTTAGGCAAAGATGTGTTAATTAAGATTTACAGGGCTGTGGTTTTTTTCTTCACTTCTTCCCTTTTCTTTTGGTGTAGGTTCTCCCCAGGATATAGCAGCTGTGAGGAACCAAGCAGCCCTCCAGAGCATGAGGACATCCCGAATGATGGCCCAGAACGCGAGCATGATGGCCATGGGTCCTTCCCAGAACCCCAGCACGCTGCCCACCACCGCAGGCCAGTCAGACATGGGCATGGTTCCTTACAGCAACGCCTCCTCCAGCCAGCCCGGAATGTACAGTATGAGCACAGGGATGAGCCAAATGTTGCAGCACCCAAACCAAAGCAGCATGAACATGGCACACAACGCAGGGCAGGGCACGAGGCAGCCTGCCTCTGGACAAGCGGTGGGAATGGTCGGCAGTTTTGGTCAGAACATGCTGGTAAACTCTGCCCTTCCCCAGCATCAGCAGCAGATGAAAGGACCCGTGGGCCAGGTCTTACCCAGGCCACAGGCACCGCGGCTTCAAAACCTGATGGGGACTGTCCCTCAAGGAGCACAGAACTGGCAGCAGCGAGGCTTACAAGGTATCCCCGGAAGGACTAGCAGTGAAATGGGGCCCTTCAATAACGGCACAACGTACCCCATGCAGTCGGGGCAGCCACGGCTGTCCAAGCAACACTTCCCACAGGGGCTTAATCAGACAGTGGTGGACACGAGTGGCACAGTGAGAGCCCTGACCCCAGCCATGGGAAGACAGCTGCTGCAGCCGCTGCCCGGGCAGCAAGGAGCCGGCCAGGCCAGGCCGATGGTGATGCCTGCAATAAGCCAAGGGGTGCCCACCATGGCTGGCTTCAGCCAGCCCCCCACGCAGCAGATGCCAGGGGGTAACTTTGCTGCGAGCGGCCAAGGCCAGGCCTACGAGCGGAATCCCACTCAGGACATACCTTACAACTACGGTAACGAAGGAGCGGGGGGGTCCTTCTCCAGTTTAGCGGAGGGCGCAGACCTGGTGGACTCCATCATGAAGAGCGGACCGGGGGATGAGTGGATACAAGAACTTGACGAGTTGTTTGGAAACCCCCAGTGAATGGGCTCGGGTTGTTCCCTTTGGAAAAAAAAAAAAAAAAAAAAAAGAGAGTTGGATGTTTCTCCCCATCCTTGGATTGTTGGATTTTTGTTTGAGTTGGTTTGGTTTGGGGTTATTTTGTTTTCTTTTGTTTTAAATCGTGCAAACTGAGCTGGTCTGTAGCCAACTTTGGAAGACTCAGGGGACGATGAAAGCATCGGCATCCCGGGTCTTCCACCGAGCCGTCTCCATTGCGTGGCAGCACCCGCTGCGCGCGCGTGTCGGGGGGCAGGATGGGGAAACTGGAAAAGCCAGGTGATGCCTCCGGTTGGGAAAATCTGGTCTTTCCCTACTGAAAGGGGGCTTCATTGCACAGTGGTTTGGGCTGGTCCCGGTACCTCCCACCTCAGTAACTGTAACGGCTGCAGCTTTGGGAGGAGCAGATGAGAACAGCCGTGGGTGAAGCCTGAAGACATCCACGGGCGATTGCACAGGCCCCTGGTCGGAAATGGGCTTAACCCTGGGGGTCAGCAGGTCTCGGCGAGCCATGGCCAGGCCTGCAGGGGTGGCTCTGGGGCTGTCACACACGTGACAAACCCAAACAGTCACGGGCAGGTCACCATTTTCACTGCAGACTGATAAAAATCCAATAAAAGTGTAGGAGACCATAAATTTGGCGGGGCGGTGAGGGCAGTTTGATAAGGGGAGTGCTGCTGGAGAGGGCTGAGGTGGGTGGGTAACTTAATGAGCTATTGAGTCCCCCTGGGACTTGCCGTGGCGCTTCCCTGTCAGAGCACTTTGGCATCTCTCTGCTGCCTGGGGGTGCAGAACAGCAGCTCCGGGTGGTGTCAAAGGGTTAAGAGGTACCAAGAGACATCAGCACAGGTCCCAAGTGGGTCCTTCTCCCTCCCACTCCCATTCCTTCAGCGAGGTGAGCTGGGCTGGTGCACCTTTTTTTTTCATGTGAGCCCCAGGTGACACACAGGGACAGGCAGGGGAGGGGAAAACCATGAGAAAATGGACGGGGAGGGTTTGGCAGCAGAGCATGTTGCTCCTCACCTCTTGAGAAGTGCAAGGGTGGCAGGCAGTGTTACCCCCAAGTGTCAGGGCTCTCGACGTCGCGTTACGTGCAACCTGGTCTTCAGTTCCAAACAGATGTTTGGTCTGATCTCTCTGGTTTGCTGGCTTGAAATTCGCTGCAGTATGTGAAGAACAGGAGCCAAGTGGAGTACTACTGTAAAGATGGTTCATGAATGGGTAAAATAATTGATGTGGTTATTAGAAACATGGCGTTTGCCCAAATAAGCTTTTAGGCAGTAGCGACGTGTCTGTGGGTCAGTCCTGAGCCGCGCTGCAATGACGCTGTGACAGGTCTTGCACGGTGCTGAGATGCCAGCCACTCGGGACGTCTAACGCAGCTGCAGCCTGGGGCTGAGGTGAGCTGTCCTCCCAAACCTGTCACCTTTTCACTCTTGTCAGCTGAGAGCTGCTTATCAGGGCGTAGGTAGCAGGGTGTAAAAAACGTTAAGGTGATCCACAGTCCAAAAAGTTGGGGAACCTCTGGCTGAACGCCGGCCTCTGTGAGCCGTAGGATGAGGATGAGTGGTGAAAGTGTGTCTCGTGTACAGCCACCAGTTCCAACGACCCAGCTCCCGATTACCTCCTCATGCGCTGCTCCCCTCGGGCCTGGTGATGCTGAAATCCGTAGGAGCTGAAGGGCTTGGCACCTTGCATTTTAAAGTCCTGCCTTTCCCTGTGGAGCACAGATACACATCACATTCAGGGTGGGAGCAAAATGGGCTCAGAACTGTCTCAGCTCCCCATTAGGGTTCCCTCCCCAGGCTTACCTAGATGAGGAGAAGTGTCTCTTTTAAATGCTATGATGTAGGCAGGACAAGCTGCATTTTTTAAGGTGGACTAGCTGGTGGAGGTGAGCTCTCAACACAGCTTGCCCTGACTGCTAAATATTTTTTTTAAACGTGCTTTAGTTACATCTCTTTTAGCAAACCCCTTTTTAAAATACAGCGCAAAGACCTATTTCAGTTCCTGCTGAAGACCATAGGGGTTGGCCTGTCCGCTGCTTCGCGTGGGCCCTAGTTCAGTGAAGGAGAGCACCAGCCAAAGTCCTGGGTCCATCCTCCTGGTCAGACGAGCCTGAAGGCGAGGGGTGGGCAAAGAAGGAGAAAGGGCACCCTGGAGGGCAAATAAGTGGTGATGAAGACCGAGTCTCTGTTGTCTTTGTAAAAGCTTCCTCCAAATACTCTGTACTGGGACCAAGTTCTAGAGAGGTAGATTTTAATAGATTTGGGGTTGGTTTTTTGTTGGTTGTTTTTTTTTTTTCTTTCTTACTATGGTGCTGATGTATATGTAATGTTAAAAAAAAAAAAAGTTATTTGTAAATATGTTTTTACAATTCTACAGATATCACTGGGTCTACTATCTGTAAAATATATACATATAAAAATATATATATATACTGTTTGTTTAAAATAGAGTATTTTTATTTCATTCCTTAACTCATCCTTACTGCAGTGGTATTGCACTTCAGATGACGTCTATTTACTAATTTGTACTGTATCCCTGACAGCAACTTCCTCCATTTTATTCAGATTTTTCTAGTTTTCTGTTTTTACTTTGTACATTAAGCATTGCTTATTTCCTTTTAAGACCTGTACAGAGCTCTGAAAATGTAGAAAAAGACCTGATGTTAACATACCACTTTTAAAGAAAAGAAAGAAAAAAAAACCCAGAACAAAACCAAACAAAAATAAAAGATGGTTATCTGAGTCATACACAAGGCTGTTTATAGGATCATCTCTCACCCCGTGCCTGCGCCTCGGTGGGTGATGTTCCCAGGGGAGGAGGGAAGTGGTTTCAGGCAGGGGTTTCTCCACAGCTGTCTCCTCACTGCAGCCTGTGGAGCTGGTACCAGGCCAACCCTCTTGCCCCAAGGATTGTTCACCACCCCTCCATGGTGGCCAGCCCCGTTGGGCACGTCCGAGCCGCTTTCCCCGTGGCCACGGAGCCACAGGTTGCCACCAGGGTGCTGGTTCTCCGAGCAAGGTGAGCTATCAAAGCTGTGCGTGCTCCGAGGTGAGGACCATGCTCAAGATGTTCCTACGGGGCGGGGAGAGCTGGCCCATAATTGGGCCCCTTAGAGGTGGCAGCTCCAAACTTTAGCCTTTATTGCATGTAGGGAGCAAAAACGGGGAGCAGGGAAGAGCTTTCAGGGAAGGACACAGGATGGAGAGCACAGGGTGTAGAAGTCCTGTGGCTGAGAACAAGGGAGGTGAGGTGGGGTGGAAGAAGGGAGGTGCAGGGGTGGGTGCAGAAGTTGGAAGGAGAAGATGAGGAAGCTTAGAGTAGTTCCCTGTCACCCTCTGCCGCCACAGCATGAGAATTGTGTTGTCAGAAGCCTCCAAGGCTCCACACCAGTTTCTCCGTGTTTCCAGCCCAGCAGGGGGTCATCAGGGATCGGACACTGGACCTCTCCCTGGAGCCGAACTAAACACCGACGCTGACAGCATCCATCTGCTACAGGTCCATTTTGGTTTTATTTACAGAAGGAGTCAGTCTTTTAACGCTTTTTGATCTGCCCTGGCTTGCTGGGGAAAACGCAGGGACTCGGAAGACATCCTCAACTCTAGGCCTCCTCCTGCCCTCCCGTTGGCTGGTGCAGCCCCTCAAATGTTTAATTTCATGTTTATCCCCTGGCCCTCTGGCTTTGTGCTGCTGGGTGACACTCTGCAGCCTCACACCCGCGCTGTCCGGCATGTGAAATGGCCCCTGTGCAACAGCAGGTTATTCCTTGCTGCAGAGGAGAGGATGGGTCGGGAGAAGCTGTCTCTAAACACACCAGACCACCACGACAGGTAAGCTTGGGATGGAATAATATCAGAGGAGAAGGTCTATTAGAGCACAGTTCAGGGCTCTCCTCGGGTGAGTTTCAAGCCTTTTACATAGTTTGGACCTTTTTTTTGGTTTTGATTCTGGTGGCAGCGCTTCCTGCTGCCCATGACTGTCTGAAGGCACAGCCAGCAGGTGGATGGTTCTGTCTTTCAGCCCGTAGAAGGAACATTAGTGGAACGATTCCCAGTGACTCCTGTGGCTGTTAAATCTGGGGCTGTCGCCCTGTCTCCCTGGAGGCAGGGAGTGCCTTCTAGTCACAAGCTGCCTCGTGCACAGGTGTCCACCTTTTTCCTATGAAAGGTTTACCATGAACCTGATCCAACACTCAGTTTTATTTGTGGTCAGGCTATCAACCCCAGTACACCTTTAGAAAGACCATAAGCATGTGCATTATATAAGCATGTGGTATTTTGGGCTAAATCATGTCTTCAGAGGCATGACAGGGAAAATTTCTGCCTGCTGGCTCTAGCATGGGTACATTCCTAAATACTTTGACTTACCAGGAGCTACCAGAACAGTCAGGCATGGCCTTGCTTCTCCGTTCTTCGACATAGTTTAAATTGACCATCAGCATACTTTGAGCCCGTGGTGCTAAACCATGACTTTCCCCCCCTCTTAGCAGAAAACTGTTTCCATAGTCAGTTTTTTTTCCATTGCCACTATGATTCCCAGAGCTGTGGCCATACTGGGACGTTTGTCTACCCTTTCCCACACCCCAGCCATCTGTGCCTTGGTGGGAGACAATGCAGTGGACCCAATTGTTAGACCAGCATCTGTGCCTTTTTGGTTGTTTCTTTTTTCCATCTGGGCTGGCTCTCCCTCTCACAAGTGCTGCGCTGCGGGTACAGCCTCTCTTCCAGAGGCTTTGTGTGAGGGCTGGGATCTGCCTCCAGGAGGGCCCCACTTCTACAAGAAGAGTGTTTGAGCACGTGTTGAAGTGTAAACGTGCCTGTAAAATCAAAAGGCCTTCACAGAAATGTAGGGCCCAGTGCAGACTGAAGTGTTTTCCTGAAGAAAGCAGTGTTTCCATATACGCTTTAACAGCCGCCTGCCGTGGCACGGGATATACTGGGAAAACTGGGACCTCGCAGCAGCAAATTGCATCAAAACCTGTTTTTACGTTTGTGCAGAACGGATGGTGCTGGTGGGGAAATGAAGAGGAGCCAAGGAGGAGGACAGAGGTGTGGGGGAAGCTGAAGGACCTTGGGTAAGGTAAGGTGGGCCGACGCTCGCAGCGCCAGTTGCAACTCAAATTACTTAGTGAATTAATGGTTTTAGTTTTATGCAATTTGTTTCGGGGTTTACGATACTGCACGGGAAAGCAGAACGTTTAATTGCAAATGCAGATGTGACACGACATTCTGTCTCACTGACTCTTTTTCAAGACTGTAGGGAAAGGAGAAAGCGTAAACAGCTCAGAGAAACCATGCATTTTGCATCGCAGCGGGCTGTTAGCAGAGCTCTGATGCTTTATTCGCATGCGGCTTTCTGCTGTTAGCAGAGAGCTCTGATGCTTTATTCGCATGCGGCTTGTCTTTTTGGTATTCAGCAAAAGCATCCATGTTATTTATTTAAGAAAACAAAACAGTCTTCAGAACATTTTACGTAGTTTCTTCATAATGCGGAAGTCCAGGTATTCATCCAGAAAGCTGTTAACAATCCCAGCTGCACCCAGGGTTATCAAGCAAGTTAGAATTATCAGATTCAAGTAAAAACCTGTTAACCTTGAGGTGGAAAGCAGAAAAATACTGTTACCAGCTGTACATGGTGTGTTTACTGTGAAACTGTTTGTCCACACCAGTTAAGAAGAGGTGTGCAGAGCCAGAAATGACCACTGCTGAAAGGTTACCTTGGGATGGTTTGATAATAAACCATCCCCTCAACTGAATTCCCTTTTGCTAGGGAGGAGATTCCCAACATCCTCTCTATTGGAAAGCTTTCCCCCAGTGTCTCTAAATATTCATGTGGAAGTTTGGAACTCGCTCCAGGAGGCAGCTACCTCTTCCCACGACAGGAAGACCCACAAGTAGAAGCTACAGACAAGCTTGAGGACCTCACTGCAACTCTAGGTGCAGGAGTGTGGGAGAGAAGCCGTAGGGACTGAGGGAGAGGCGTCTTACATCCACATCTGTTGGTCAGGTACTCTCTGCTGAGCTGGGAGGTCTAGTTATCACTTTGACTTGGAGACAGATATTTGGACCAGACAGGAAGAGTGTTGATCCTAAAAATTCAGTGATTAGGGTAATGTCCATTTTTCAGCTGAGATAGAGTATATTTTCTTTCTAGTTGTTTCTGTGTTTTCAGGTTTGGTATGAAAGGAATGTCGATAATGAATATTGTTTTAGTTGTTACTAAGTGATGTTTATACTATTCAAGGACTTTTTCTGGCTTCCCATAGAAGCTGGGAAGGAGCACAGAAGGAATATTCCATACCATAGACGTCGCGGTTGGTATATAAATGGGGGTTGGACAGGGGAAAGGAATTGGTGATCTCTGCTCAGTTTGGGCTGTGGAACCAATACACCAAGCAACGAGACGTCTCTTTGGAGAATCCTGTCACATTAACATTGGAGAGAGGTCTGAAGGGCTTGTCAGCCTTCCATTTATAGCTATCTATCCCCATATCCACAGAGGTTGAAGAAGTTGGGTGTTTGGGCACCGTTGGGGTTGTGGGAAGCCTCAGAATCTGACTGGTGCCTAAAGACCTGATCTAAGAAGCTTTTCTGGCCATGCCACATCTACACACAGGTTTGAAAATGGTGAAGTGTGAGAGTTTTCTCAGTTTCAGGAGAGCATGAAAAAAAGCCTTTAGCTGAGCCCTTTAAGTGTCCGTCAGAGCCAGCTGGAGGGGCAGGGAGAGGATACAGCTCACTTGCAAAGGCCCCTCCAGCACAGAAACTGAGTAGAAGGTGCATGTTCCTGTTGTGTTTTTAAAAAATCCAGGCTTGACAAATCTGAACTGCAGTTGATGTCGAGTGTGAGTTGTAACCAGCTCCTTGAGCACGCAGACCAGATCAATCTCTATAACTAGCACGGCTGTAGTCAGGGATGAGGGTTGAGCCTCAGTGTGAAGACTAATTACCTTCTCGCTACGAAGGCTGCTGGGGGCTTGTTGTATTTTTTGGGGCTGGGTTCTGCATGCCTGGCTTGTGCTGAGCTGTTGCTCAAGGCAAAGAAACTGGAGTCCCACCAGAGCGTAGAGCTCTGCTAATCGTGAGCCCGGGTGCTCTCCTCTGGCTTCCTTGAGAGGCAAAATCTGTTGGTCTAAGAGTACTGGAGTAAAGCATGGGAAAGACTTCTTGAACAAAGGGCTTCTTAGTTTGCTGAATAAAGAAAAGCCCATTATGCTCTGCTTGTTCATTTGTTTGCGTGGGTTTGCTCCCCAAACTTCCTTAAGAGTTGCTAGACTTCTGGTGGGTGTTCACTGCATCGTTTGAATTGCTGCATCTCTTACTGGGAGAAATAAAATTGGCTCCGTATATTTGCTCTGGAAAACAGAGCTTCTCCTTTCTCTTAAGCAATAGCTCTTCCAAAAAGGATAAAGGACTGGTGGAGGCAGAGTGAAGGAGACTGGTAATATCAGTACACAAGCTATGGGAAATAGTAGTATAGTCGTTTGCTGCTGCAGGATTATTCACTACAAAAAAAGTCTGATTGCTTTGTATCTTCCTCTAGAAATATACATCCCAAGTCTTTTAATTTTATGACAAGTATATATTGTGCTATTTTCTTTTTACAACTGATATGTGTGCTGGAAGAGAGCCTTAGGTCAGGACACAGAACACAGCGCAGTGGCTTTGGTGAAACAAGAAACAAACAGTGTGTTTGAGTGTTTGCAGTGGAGGGGTGTTTTGCCAGCGTGCATGTTTATTGAAGCAGAATTCATGTTATGAGATGGTGTGCACTTAACATTCATTAACGTATGCTTATCTGGAGCTGTGTTCTCTTATCTGTTTGGTGAAAGTTCATCAGCCTACGAGGCCAGATTTCCTGGCTACCTTCAGTGCCCTCTGTACGGCTGGAGTAAAGGTCTTAATGTGACAAGCTGAGGCAAAAGGAGAACAGCAGACAGGCAGGCACTGTGCAAGCTTTGCCTGAGCAGAGCCCTGCTGCTGTTTTTGGACAGAGCCTGGTTCCCAATCTGCCCAGCAGAAAGCAGGCACCCACAGGGTGAGCATCAGCCCTCCTCTCTGCCGTGACCCGCAGCACGTGCACGTCTTAACCCAGGCTTCTGCTGCAACAGCCAGCAGAACCCCCCCCTCTCCCGGGGGGCTTCCGCTTCAGACCCCTCGCTGACACTTTACACATGTTGCATTCAATTACAGTCACTTTTCTCTGCCAGCCCTTGGCTCTCAGCCCAGCTCCACACCACAGCCTGCAGCTTTTAACCTGCCTTCAGCTGGTAACTCCTTACCTTCCTTTCACGGACTGCGCGTAGCCATGGAAGTACTTGTAGCGGGCAAACACGTACAACACACCCAGGAAGGAAGCTACTTCTATGAAAGAAAAGGGAGAAAAGCAGTTAGAAAACTAAAAAAATTAGGATCTCAGACAGTTAGAAACTTTATTTGTGTTTTCTAGTTGCGTAGCTCTGGGGATTTTCACAGCTACCCTTACCCTGGGAAGCTGTCTTGGGAAAGAATCATTCAAAAGAGATACATATATTCTTAAACATTCACTACAGGAGGCTCCTTATTTGGGTTTAGAGATAGGGGTGGGCATAGGGCCGTCCAAAAAATTCCAAAAACATTCCCTGAAAAGGCGATCTCAAGAACTGAGAGGAACCTGTACCTCCCCCCTGCCCCAGTTTGGTGGTTATCCCAGGGATAGGGGGTTGGAGTTTGGTGGCTTGACCCAGCCCTGTCATTTTCTATTGTTATGGCAGTTCATGCTAAAGGGGAGCGTTTGTTTTGTTAAGAGAATCTTATTTATGTTGTTAATAACCTGCTTTGCATTTATATAGCAGCTTTTATCCAAGGACACGAGAGAGAGCTGTAGTGAAGTTAGCTTTCTGACCTCCCTGTGGGAAGAGTATAAAGTCACCTCCCTTTGATAGATGGAGCAGGGTGTGTAGGTCAGTCGTATTATCCAGGACTAAGCTGGATAATTTTGTGTTCTTTCAAACCCCGCGAGCGAGTATTACAGAGGACAGCTTTTCCTGTGTTCTGGATTAACTCCTGTAAACATACCTATGGGACATGCTCAGCTGAAAAAATGACTTAGAGGAGGTTAACATAATCCTTCTTTTCTTACATATGGCAGCACACGTCTGTGTTGCTGGTTAGCAACTGTGATTTTCCTCCATTCAAGTGTGTGTCTGTGATCACACGTACTATCTTGTATCGAATTTGTTGACTTAAGTGGTGCTATTTTGGATTTACATTGGATTTGCAGTGGAGATGGGACTCTGGCTGTAAGAGGGCCCCAAACCAAAATAGTCTTTTGGAGCAAACATAGAAAACAGAGAAGAAAGATAGTTGTTCAGGAAGGAGAGGTGTAGTGGGCACGAGCTAGTTATCCTTTCTCCAGCCCACAGACTTCATGCTTCGAAAACATCAGCTGGGGAAGGGTTAAAAAATCAGAATGCAAAAATTGGGCTCTGTTAGGAGACATCACAGACACACCTTGGAAAGTCCAAAAACCAAAGCTCGGTGGTGTCTGAGTTCAGAATGTTGGTTCTGAACTTCCAGGTGCCTGAGGAAACCCAGTAGGTTTTGAGGGGTCCCCGCTGCACACCTGGAACACAGTGTCTGTGGCTAGAGACACCGCTGTGATGACTGTGCTCGGTGCTATGTCCCAGAACAAACACATGAGTCATAGCCCAGCAGCAATGTCACTCATCTGGGATGAAAAAACCCAAAGGTTTGCTGCTTTGAGCTCTGTCTCCATCAGCCAGGGGTCCAGACACAGGCATGAGTGCTCTGACCTGAGTCTTTTCAGGCTGCCTCCTCCCCGGGGACGACAGCTTTGCTTGACGTCCTGTGAGGATTGTCCCGTAACGTGTAAATAGGTGTTAGTGGGAAGCATCTGGGAGCTGCTTTTCTGAATGATTCACCCTGCAAATCCACTGAATGTGTGATAAATGTGCCAGGTGCTGGCTCCTTGGTTTGCAGAGGGAAGTGAAAGCTGGTGGGGCCACGTGAAATGCCATGACTAAGTGGGGATTTTGGTGTCACTGAGCATTCTTCTAGGAAGGCTACGCTAACGTAAGGCAACTAAAGGAAGGGAAAAAGATGTATAGACTCATTTACCTCCTGATAAAACTAAAGGGTTTTAAAAAGTTGTGTCAAACTTCTCAGCCCAAGATAAAAATGAAAAGTATTTACCTTGATTAAAAAACCACCCCGCAGTCCAGAGGACAGTCAGGAATATTGGGTAAAACTCCACACAGTTTTGTCTGCAGAATAAAAGTGAAAGAACATTAGTCTGGAAAGGGAAAGAACTATTGGTGAGATTTTAAAGGAGAATTGGCTCTGGCCTCATTAAGTTGCCACTAAAGTTAATGCTGTTGAATCCAGTGGGAGCACAGTCAAGCCAGCATTAGGTGTTCTTAAAAATTCTCTTCTTTGTAATCTCAAATATAAATTATTTCAGATATTTGCCCGGTATTTAAACTTAGACAAGGATCTGGACCCCAGCTACGTGGAAACAAATAGGACAAATACTCCTAAATCAAGTGCCCGTGCAGCAGAGAGAGGCAGGAATTCCAGCACGTGGACAGGATGCTAATCACTTATCTCCATACTCAGCATGCAGGTTCTGTGGGTCAGCTTTCCCAGGACTGCCAGAGGGAGCACAGAGCTGTGAGGAGGCAGCGTGGATTGCTCTGCTGAGGCCACCTGCCTTCAGGAGGTACTATCAGGCACAGACAACACACGGTAGAGCTTGTGGTGAGGACCATGACATCTTTATTCCTGGATCAGTTTTCCTAACAATATTTCTTTGGGATATCTTTTCTTTGTTGTTCTGAATTAATTTCTTTTTAATGGATTAGGCAACCTTCTATATCTAACATATTATTTTATCTAATATGTTGTCTAATGTGTTCTATGTCTCATTATTGTTATCCACTACAATACAGTTACAGCAGATGGGACTGTTTGAAATAAATATAAATACTTTTGCACAGTATCATTAGTTAATCACAAACTGAAGCCCTCTAGGAAAGTGCTGTTACCTTAGGCTATTCCACCATTTATCTACTGTGAAGAGGTTTTCTGTGCTCTTGTCTTCCACGTGTTTGGTGTTAGCCACAGTTCAAGAACTGACAGGAGAGCTTGCTAGATCCAGAGCACCTGAATTCTCTGAGTTACAGTCAGTTAGCTCTCAGCCCCTACTTAGATTTGGATAATCTGGTTGCCTGGTTTGATCAGAACTTCAGCAGTGACTTTTTAAAATGAGCTGAACTTACCCCATTGTCAGTAAAATAATAGCTGAACCATTTGAAAGGTGATATGTTTTTGTTTTGGTTTGGTTCGGTTTTTTATTGAGCAAAGGATGCAAAGAAAATGTAACGTTTTAAGATAATGTTTTTGCTACTGTTCCAGACTGAATTGTTATTCATTGCCACCATCTTAATGATCTTGGACTTACTGTGCACGAAATGTTCTGTCAAATTCTGGAGGTCCAGTGACAGCTGGGGGCATGACCTTGTGCTTCATTCTCGATTTCCCCACCAGCCAAGCAAAATGACCTGTAAGCAAAAATAAGGGCTCAGGAATTACACAGTTCCTTGGCTCAATTGCGTCTCTAACAAGTCAATTTTTTAAATAGAGATCATTGTTCTTCAGCTCTTTCCATGTCGTTTGGCAGAAAGAGACCAACATTAGATAAAGTAGTTTTTCCCCCAAAAAGTTTAGATTATATCTTCAAGAGTGACACTCATGAGGAAGGGGGGAAATTGCTATTTTAGAAGTATAGTAATTCTCTTTTTGCATTTGCTAGACTAGCTATGACTTAAATACCCTTCCACCTCCTCTGAATCCTAGAACTGTGCAGCCTTGGGGCCGTGCAGTCACTCTGCAGTGTGCTGCATTACCAGTGGCTCAGTAACCACGCGGCGCCAACGGAGGTCACTTCCCTACTTTTTAGTGACACTAAGAGCTATGATGCTTTGAAGTAAGGGGCAGCGTTACAATCCTTGGAAACAAAAATCTGGTCTCCACCTTTTTAAAGTTATTTACCCATATCTTCTAGTGGTTGCTTTCCCATCTGTTGTCACTGAATTTTGTTAGTCTGAGACAGTACGTTGGAAAGATCAGAACGCTGCAGCTGGAGAGGCTGTAGTCTCTGACTTTCCACCAACTGGAGCTCATAGTACTTACCTGTCTTATAAAAAGCATTTTTTAGAACTGATGCAGTGCCATGAAGAAGACAGATTACTTACTGTACAGTCACTAAATATCAGTTACTTACTGAAAGCCCCCAAACCAATCAAACACTATCTCTGCACTTCTGACCCTTTTTTCTAGGATTACTTCTGATGTGTATATGTATACCTCATTTTACTGACATCCTCATTGCAGAAGTCTCTCCCTAGAAGTTGAAGAGAGGCTCTCAAGGACAAAAGGCCATGCACAGACAGCAATTTTCTGTATGCAGCAGAGCTATTGGGCATCACCCTGTTGGAAAGCTCTCTGGGTACCTGGAGTTATTCTTCTGGCTGTGTCATAGCCACCCTGTACAAGAAGCTCGCTATCTACCTTGTACCTAAACTTTACCTGGATCCAGAAACCAGGTACCCTCCTGAGTTCACTAAAAAATAGACCTGTCCAAGGGGCAAGCCTAGGGTGTACCTTCTGTCCTCCCCTCTGGGAGCAGTGGCATTAAAACACAGCTAGAGATATTAGTGGTGCTGCCCTGTGCACCTCTTATGCCTTAGCCTTAAGGGCCAAAGCCTTTTCCCAAAAAAGCATTTTCCCATCTGTCTTCTCCCCATATAAGAAATTACAGGCTGCGTTCAAGTGACCTCTTAACCTTTCTCTCCAGAGACTAGTCAGAGCATCTCAGATATCTCTCTGTAAGGCAGGTTTACAGAACCTTTCATTGTATTTGCATCCAGCAAGACCTCCTCCACTCCCACCCACGCATCTCTTGTCAAGTCTGGTGATTCATACCATATTTGCCACCCTGCAGCCCTTTCAGAAGAGAAGAATGGTAGTGGGGAGGGTTTAGGGAACACGCTTCAGGGAGACTGGAACTCGTGGAAGCACAAGAATTACCTCCGAGAAATATTCTTCCAGAAAACTTGACTGAAAAGTTGCTTTTTTAACTTTTGTCACAGTCAAAATGATCTATTTTTTTTTTAATGACAAATGCTACACACTGACAAACCCTGCCTGGCTTATCAGTCAAAGTGGTAGGTGAGCCATAGTGTTTTGTGCGATGGCATCTTCAGCCAGCAAGGTGTTCCTCATTTTCTGGCCATACTGAGCCATTCCATGCTTACAGGCAGTCTGGGACCAGGTTTGTTCTACAGAGGAGCTAAGGCAAGCCAAGGAGGCTCATTGCATCCAAATCAGTTGAGAAAAACAACAAAAAAAAAAAGCCTTGAATGGATGCTGGACAAAATAAACTAACTGGGGGAAATCAGAAGATTAGGGCCCTGTAGGGGCCAAAGCGTTCTTGTTTGTTCAGTGCAATTAACCAAAGCAAATTGGCCGTGGTATAGCCCTGGCCTCAGCCTTAATGTGATTTGCCCTTGGTATTGCCTGGTCAGGAAAGCTCTAGTTTGAGGGGCAGAGATTTGCCCATGGGAGACCCTGGCTAACCACAGGCAGAACCAGGTTGTGACAGTACGCTAGGACAGCCGCCATCATAAAATCTGCTTCTTCAGTGGCTTCCACTGAGATTGATGGGAACTTTGCTTCAAAACTCAAGTGAGTTGTTATATGCCAATGAAACCCAAGCTGTGGTGCTGCATAACAGGAGAACTAGAGTCATATCTGACACCTAAAAAGAAAAGGTGAGCCTGGTGTGCAGAACAAGACAGGTACCAACCAGGGACTTGAAAAGAGCTCAGGAGAGGAATAATTACTGTATTTTTTGCTAACTGCATAGGCCTCGCCTTTTAGTTCCTTTCTGGTGAATGGAAAGCAGCGATGTAACTCCAAATTTAAGCTTTGTGATTATAGTTTCACAAGGGCTAAAGTAAATAATAAAGCAATGGGAGAGCTCTTCTGGCCCACCCACTGGAGGTGCTGCCGCAAGGACTCCAGAAAGCATTGCAGCAGGAGTAAGGAAAGATTTTCGTAGCCTTTTCTTCCCTCTGTATCAAGTTGTTCAGTTCTAGCAGGCTAAATTACATGACTGAGGTGCTTACAAAGTATGTTTGACTTGCCTTTGTTTGATTTTTTTTTTTTTCTTTCATCTTCAGGTAGCATTTATGGTTACTGAGTTAATGTCTTTACTCTGAAAATATGGTACAAAGCAGGCTTTCAAGGAGCATTACTCTCACACATTTTACATGTGCTAAAAAGCCTGCTACCTATACTGCAGTGTATGATAGTGCATGTTAATTTGCATGGACTGGCCCTAAAGCCAGTGTGGTGTTTAAAAAAAACACCAAACACTTTAAAATAATGTTTTGCTGGGTCCTGGAATTACTAAGAGTCATTTTAAAAGGTGCTAGTTCAGAGAGATGCTTCAATACAGAGGATTAGTGAGAATCCTGTCCTCCCTGCTCTCTCCTGTATCAATGACTGGGATTCATTCTGCCCTTTCATTGGATTCCCTTGTTTTCCCATCAGTCTACAAAGCACTAATCTCTCAAGCAAATCTTAGCTGCTTAAAACTGGATTCATGACTGGAAACCACTTCTTGCATTGTTTCTGCTCTTTCTTTCTACCCTAGAGCATTTCTTGCCCAGCTTAATCTTCTACTGACCTGATTCTTTGAATAACTCAGGGTTCTGAGACACTAAATCTGGTACCTCTGATGATTGCTAAGTGAAACCTGACTTCAGGGAGGTCGTCTTGCCCATTAGCACCTTCCTAACTCAGGAGGGGAGGCTCAGCAGAACAAACAGAGCCCCAGGTGCCAAGTATTTCCTTCATGGCAAGTGGTCACACACTGGGCTGCTCCTCTTGCATGAACTGGTTCTAGCACATCCTCACGGTGCCGGTTTCCCAACGTTAATTTGAATTTCCAGAAATTAATCTGTGTTGGTTTACTCATGCTAGAAAGCATGCTGAAAGTAAGCCAAGCTGTGATGATTTAAATCAGATCAGCAGATCAGATTCTTACATGGGTTTCTCTTTGGGCTTGGTGTCAGACTGCCAGTGTAAATTAAAACCTTAAATCTTGTCTCTTCTGTGATTTTAACTAATATGGATTAACCATCACAAGGAAGAACATAGATATTTCCCCCCTCCCTTTGCAGTTTCAGTATCTGTACAATTCCTTGAGTTTTTGAACGGCAATATTTTTCTGGGTAATGTTTGTTTGTTTGTTTTTAATCCTTCACGTTTCTACCATAAAAATCAAGCCATGCAAGCTGAACTTTCACAGAAGTCAATGGGAAATATTGCCACCAGAAGTGTATTGTGATGGTCACAGGGGTATGTTGTAGCTGGTCTGATGACAGAAAAAAATAACATAAATTTTAGGTGCTTTTTATTTGCCTTCTGTTGTGTTGGGCCTTTTTTAATCTGGAAGGGTCACATTCTCAAACCTTTTTTTCTGCTGGGTAGAAATGTTATTTCAGTAGTTGAGGCTTTGAGAACAAATAAACAAACAATCAAGTCACAGATAGGTTGCTAGATAAGTTGGCAGTGCTATAGATATTTGAAGAAAAAAAAGGCAGAATAATTATTTTTAACTTGTTCTTAGTCTCAACCTAGTATAGCACAAATGCCTTCAAAATGTATCTTGTTTCTCGGCGTAAACACAACTATCTGAATCAACATATTTCAAAGAAAATAATGACAAGCATTAAAAACACTACTGCAGTTTTTAGACTGAAACACAGCAAAAGGAGCATCTCAGACTTGCCCATTTCTTTCCCTAGTCCTTGATTCTCAGAGGCATATCAGCAGGGGATAAAAGAAATCCATTTAGATCTTAAAGAAATGTAATGATGAGGACAAAATATGGAATATCGCATATTATTGCTGCCTGGTGTAAAGGTTTGCTTTCTTCTTTCATTTCAGATACTTATTATATATCTCTATTTCACAAAACAGTTTTTTCAGCACTTTTAGTCCAGCATTAGTGTGTTTGATTTCGCAAATTTACTCTCACTTTTGAGGTTTTCAATTGTATAGGTGCCTAAATAAGAATCGAAACCAAGAATGTGGCTTCGGGGTAACTTTACAGCTAGTTACGAGCTCTCACAATGGTACGATTCCAAGAAGTCAGCAAACAAAACAGAATTGAAAACAAATTAGTTTCTCCCACAGGGAAAAGCAATCTGTCCCACTGAGCCAACCCCTTCTCAGACTACAGAGAGGGTAAACAATGTGCCGGTGAGAAAAAAATCTTAGGAGTTCTCAGAAATTAAAGTTACAGAGCAGCCGGTGTTACAAGCTCTCACAATGGTATGATTCCAAGAAGTCAGCAAACAAAACAGAATTGAAAACAAATTAGTTTCTCCCACAGGGAAAAGCAATCTGTCCCACTGAGCCAACCCCTTCTCAGACTACAGAGAGGGTAAACAATGTGCCGGTGAGAAAAAAATCTTAGGAGTTCTCAGAAATTAAAGTTACAGAGCAGCCGGTTTATCATAAAATAATTTCCAGTTACTTCAGAACTGTTGGAAACCTCCCCGAGCCCCAGGCACGCAGCCCCATGGATCTTACATTGCTGGAAGGCGGAAAGAAGAGAGACAGCGGCGAGCAGAGTTAAATCACCAGCCATGTTCCCAGCAGCTTCCGCGCGCGAGCAGGATGTGTGTACGGGAGAGACAGCTCGAGTGAGCAATAAGGAAAAACACCAGGTGGGAGAATTAATAGTGCTTTTCAGCATTGCAACAATGGTCTGCCCTGGAAATAAACCAGCCTCACTTTTTAAAACAAGAGCGCAAAATTACGGCCATTTTTCATTCCTGAAAAAGTTCAAACGCAGTCAGCCAGCCCTGCCTGCCTCTTGCCTGTGTGAAAGCGCAGGGAGAACAAAACCAGCCTTCCCTGCCTCTGTGGATTCAGCTGCTCTTTTATGCCTCAGATTTCAGCTGCAATCTCTTTGGGGGCGAAGACTTTTTGTTCTGTGTTTGTGCAGGGTGTAGCACGGCCAGGTCTGCGTCCGTCACTAGCGGTGCCCCTGGAAAGCAGCAGGTGCAGGAGATGTGAGGGGGGAGCAGAGCTTTGTACTGTCCCTACCCTTGATTTACAGGTTTTGCCCAACACATACTGCTTAGTCCCTGATGGGTAACACGACAGCCACTTTACAGGCAGCCAGCACGCAGAAAGGAACTGTTCAGGGCAGTTCAAAGGGTAAAACAACTGAGAAAGAAAGAAATATCTCCATTTAACTGCCCGGAGTACGCTTCCTATAGCTTATGCCTAGTCCTAAAGCTGGGAGAGATTCTCTCAAGGAACATTTTTCATCGGCTAACTAACAAGAAGCTTAATGTCATTAGCCTTTATGATCCCAGAAGACCACTGGAACAAAACCAGTGTAATGTTTGTTGTCACTCCAGGATTATCTATCCGCTTTGCCTCCAGCTGATGTTGGAGTATTTCATTAACTTTAGTCAAATTTGCTAATTCTAAAGGCTAACATAAAAAGGACGTTAAATCAGTTCTTTTACCTTGCCAAATTTTAAAAGGTTATTTCTTGGGTATTAATTCTGTATATTGTTCTTTCTAAAGATTGGAAGAGTAGATATGCGATAATAGCATTAGCTGGATGTTTGTGCTTAGTGGCTCTTCAGTTGCTGATTTATGTGCTTTAATTGCAGCTCTTGTTGTAGGGGCTGGCTTTCTCACTGCTCAGTCTGTGTTTATAGGGGCTGGCTCAGAGGTGTGCGAAGCATTGTCACCCTCCTGGTACAGGGAACTGAAGGAAAACTCTAACAGAGGCCATCATTTGGAAAGTTAAAACCACAAGGGCTAAGCATTTTAAGGCCGGCTGATATCAAAGTTATGGGTTTTTTTCTGACTTTACTCAAAGGATAGGAATTTCAAAATGATGACGGACATGCGAAATCCAGCAAAGAATACAATAAAACAGGAATACAATTTAGGGCAGGGGGTTAAATCCACAGAAATACTATAAGTTGTATGTCCATTATGGCTGAGCTAAAGTCTGTTTAAAACTGTTCACTTTCCACTGGTAGCAGAGAATTTGTAGTTGCCTGTAGATTTATAATGCTTTAAGTCATACATAGCCCATGGCCAATGTTATGCTTCCTCCCTGTGCAACCCAGAATACCAAGACGGATCATATACTAAAAAAGGCTGGGTTTATTTTTGATGGTAGAAATACAGTAGTACCTCAGATGTCCAGAGTTTTATGTTTATATGTATAAGTCCCAATATATACGTAGACGCCAGAATCAACCAAGAGATTTCTCCAGTTACGTCAGGACACTTTGACAGCTTGTCTGTGGCTCATTTCTCAGCTTGCTCCTGATGAACGTAATTTGATTTTGCATTTCCTTCTCTTGCTTGTATTTCGTACGTGCTTTGCTTATCTCTGCTGTTGTAAATGCATGTGTTTTCTACAGCTGTCCAAAGGTGTCTCCGAAGCAAGAACAGGGGCTCTGAGCAGTGAAATGTAATGTGAAATCAGAGATACCATGGTGTCTTAACAGATTTAGGTCTTTCCCATTTGAAAACAGTAGTATTTTATTGCTGCGCTGTCCTTTGTTTGTGTGCGATGCAGGGAAAACAGGTTTCTCTAACTGAGATTTACAGCAGAGGAAACTGAGGCCTTGGGTAGGGATGGGACTTGGAGAGACACTGGAACAGGTTGCCCAGAGAAGTCATGGATGGATGCTCCATCCCTGGAGGGGTTCAAGGCCAGGCTGGATGGGGCTTTGAGCAACCTGCTCTGGTGGGAGGTGTCCCTGCCCAGGGCAGGGGGCTTGGAACTGGATGATCTTTAAGGTCCCTTCCAACTCTAACCATTCTATGATCTATGAGATGCTCATTTCATGCACAGCTGTGTGTGAGAGCTGGGCCTCTGCATAGCCCCAGGATTTAAGGTCAATTAGCAGTCCTGCCTCTTGTTGACCTGTGTGTCCCAGCCTCCAAAAAAGGCTGGTTCTTCTTGCTGTAGAGAACCTCCTGTTGACCAGCAGCAAAGTCAAACCCCAGCAGGGTGGCAGCACTGCCATCATGGGAGAGCAGATGGTGGGGGTAGTGAGACCAAAAGCATCTAAAGTGTGAAACCAGACTGATCAAACAAGCTCTTTTAATGGAATTACACTGTCAAAGCTGCTGAGTTTTGTCTCTGGAAGAGCTGAAAAGAGCTTTGCAAGGGGCACTGTTCAGTCTATGCTGGGGTGTAACTTCATAAAGGCCAGTCACAAGCAGCAGTGCAAGCATCTTTTAGTTTTAAACACCCTCTAGAAGACAGGCTCTGAAGAACAGAGATGCTCCTCTGGCTGGAAGGGAAAACATATCTGAACTCTCATACGTTTCATTGGAAACGTTTACAGGGTAAATCAAGACTATTACAATGTATGAGGCTAGCTGATGTATCAAAAGCAGTTTAGCTACAGCAGTAACAGTAGTGAGCTCTGCGGTTTATTAATTTACTCTGCTTTTCAACAGTATACTACAAAGAACATGGGCCTGTGTGGCACTGGGTCATACTCAGGCTTTAAATTTATCAGAACTATGAAATGGGTGAAAAAGGAAGAAAATTTTATTCCTTCAAATGTTCCTGTTTCTACCTCCTAAATAGCAGCTGTAACCCATGTCTGCTGTTGTTTCATAGACACCTTGCATGGGGCTTCAGAGGAAGGATGAAAACTCCCTTGCATTCAGTTCATTTTAAGGTCTGGTTGTTCAGAGTCCCCTGCTTTATGGCAGAGTTACCTAATGACAAAACAGATCCTAATTTTCTGTCCCCATCCTCTGGACACTGGTGTCATGAGATGAGACTATTTTTGATGGTGGTGGCAGGGCAGATTTAAAAGGATTAAACAGAGTAGTGGCCAGAGGTTTGGGATTTTTCCTCAATCTGCACCTTATGCAGCCTAATGTCACCTCCATCAATATTGGATATAAGTCAAGGAAAGAATTGGTTCATGGTGCTCTCATCTGGCTGTACAAAAGATTGATGTGCTTTAACTCCCATCAGCGTTAATGTGAGTTGCTATATGCACATAAATTCCCACATGCCTGCATGTCCACAGGCTGCTTGGATTTCCTTATGCACTTTGGGTATCATTACATTTTTTCACTTTGGACGTTGCAAGAATGTATCTGGGATGCAATTCTGGATTGCAATAGAGAATAACATCTTTTTACGTATGTTTATAAAACATAACTGTGCCAATCTTGCATATGCTATTGTAATCATAGTAAGCTTTCAAAGCAGCAGCAAAAAGAGGAGTCTAGATTGTGATAAGAAGTACCTACATGTAATTACAGACTGGGGTTGTTTTTTGTTAAAATGGCGCTTTTCTGTTGAAGAACATGTGTGTTTTTTTCTTAAAATATCTTCACCTGTTCTCAGCTCTGAGGAGTGCAATGGCTTGGGAGAGATTATCAGAACCAGTTCAGGAAAACGGTGCACACACAGGTACATCTGCAGTGTTGTGTAAAGAAGCTGTGTCTATATGGTGATTGGGCAATACCTGGGGCCAAATATTCCTCACCTCCTGTGTCTCAGACCTCCTCCTCCTCCTCCTAACCTGAATGTTTCTGGAGGAAGCATTAAATCTCCAAAGAAGAGGTACAGCCTAACACAAGAAGGGAATTCTGCAAACCCTGCCTCTCCCATTCAGCAGAAGAGGAAAAGTGGTATACAAAGCTATTTCCCGTTCTTCCCTTTGACTCTTCTTGTGAGAGATCCAATGTGTGCTGCAAGGGCTGGAGATGAGATGTGGTGGGCCTCGCAGTCACCTAAGGTCTGAGGAGTTAGGCAAAGCCACATTTCTCTTGTCAGTGTGTGTGATTAGATGCCTGACAATGAGAAGTGACTCTCCCAGATTCTTTACCCTATGGAAATCAGCGTTGGCTTACGCTCTGCGCCTCACTCGCAAGCCTAAAGCTGCTGTGGACCTATAGGATCACCTTGCCTGACTGCCTGTATCATACAAACTGGCAGCATTTCAGCAACGAATAACAACTCATTAATAAGTGATGGGAGCTGGTGGGCAGCGGTGCTTCCAAAGGGTAGCACACTTCCTGCGCCGCGCAGCCCCGCTGGCTCTGTGAGCGGTATCTCCAGTTTGCAGCAAGGCAGCCTTGGGAGAACCCAGGGCTGGTCCGCCAGACGCAGATCCTGCACCACTTATGTCTGGATCAAAAGGAGGTTTAAAGATTTCCTGGTTTCTATTGACCAAGTGGAAGCAGATCCCCGGACCAGCGTGACTGCTCTGATATCTGGAATGCAGGGGATTAATGGAGATTCAGCAAGAGATTTGAAGACGTGTTGGTTGTACATCTCTTGTCTCCCTTCACAACACCTAGTAGATTTGTGACAACGTAGCACTTGCTATTTTTTAACTTGCTAACCTTGGACAAAGAGCTATTTTAATTAGCGAACCACTTCAGCTCGAGGGAGTCTTTTCATCCATACAGAAGGAAGTTCAATTTCATCTTTGTGGAAATCAGCTGCGCTTAGGAAGTAGGAGGTAAATTGTGCTCGTGTTCAGCCTTATCCGATGCCTTTAGGCGATAAGGCAGATCTGAGCAGTCACTCAGGTAGCTGATGAGCCAGGCCCTCCAGCCTGGCCAGATCTTCAGCGTGGCTTGCATTACAGACAGTCACAACTGTGGGCCATTATTTATTGCCCACGCCTCCGATT